TATGAATAAAATTTTATAAAAAAATAAAATTAGCTTAGATTTTTTTATTCTTCCTCTTTGAAGTTGTCGAAATATTCTGTTATCTTTTCCTTCAGTAATGGTAAGTCTTCTTTGAATGTAAGTATTGTGCAACCTTTGATGTCATAGTGTGTTTGAGGAAGAGTATTTTTGACAATTTCCTTTATTTGCTCATTCGGTGTCATTGAAATCGGTAAGTTTTTCACGATAGAAACCAGTTTCTGTCAGATTTGTAAATCTTAGCTAAGTCATAAAAGCTCTTGTTGTTTCTTCTGACTAAATGTAACATAACCATATCTTTATCTTCTTCTTTCTCCAACTCTTCAGTATATATCATATACTTATAACTCTTTTCCTTTCCTTTTGGTACTGAACGCGGTATTCTTTTCTGTATGCTTTTGTCTTTGGATTCAATGACTTCATCTTTTGCTTGAAGTTTCTTTTCCATCTCTCCACGTTCTGCTTTATATAGTTCATCTAACATCATGAAAATATAACAAGCATAACGAGGTGAAGCCCACATTGCTACAGCGTTTACTAAAAGTCTATGAACATAATAACCTTTCAAACAAGGAGCCAAATTCTTGCGATTTTCGAATGGAATCTCTTCCCTCGGTTTTCCGAGGGAAGCAATCATATGAGGAAATTCTTCTAAAAGTTCTTTAGCCTGTTGGTTTTCAAACCAATGATATGCTTGCTTTGTAGAAAGAAGAGCATTCATTATACTTTGCATTTGGTACATGTCATCTTTGACTGAACGAATGAGTCTCAATTGTTTGTTATACTGTATGTATTCGTATTCTTCATTTATGGCTTCATGAACGATAGCAGTTGTTGTGTTCTCTGTTGTTGACATATCTGTCTTTACATACAAAATAAAAAAATAAATAAAAATAAAATTAGCGTTATTTTTTCTATCTTTCACAAAAGACCAAAAATAAACGCTTTACATGTATTTTTCAGCAACTTCGTCAAATAATTTTATAGCTTTATCTATCTCATCTACTTCAAACGTTTCTTTACCTTTTATGGGAGCACCATACATTTTCTCAAACTTTTCGAGTAGTTCTGTTTCTGCGGCTCTCATATCATTAACGAACACAACCTTGACTCTATTGACTGTACTGTCATATCTTTGAGTTATATTATATGTCCTTCCTATCTTATATCTTTTTGTGTTGAAGTCCTTCGGTTTCTGAACGATGTAAAGTAAGCCTTCACTGCAACGTTCCGTATCGAATGAACCATAAGTTATGAAGTTATATCCAACAACTGGGTCAATCCATAACAAAACTATTGGTATAAGACTTTTGTCGATGAGATATGCTGTAGTTCCATAGAATCTTACTGATATCATAAGCTCAGGATTTCTTGTCAAAATTTTCTGAGTTGAAGCATTTCTAACCCAGTCGTGTGTTTTCTTTCCAGATGGAAATATAATGTCTGACAAAGAATATTTGTTGTATTTCTTTGAGTATCTTACGTTTAAATCACCTATTCTAACCACTTTGGTGTCATTGTCTATCTTTCTAACTGTTTCAAACTCAATGTTTGTCATTTCTGTTCTTACATACAAAATAAAAAAATAAATAAAAATAAAACTAACTTTATTTTTTCTGTCTTAAGGAAATTCATGATTTTGTTGCTGAATTCAATAAAAATATATTTTAGGGTAGATGGTTAGATCTAACCTCATTTCTACCCTCTTTTCTACCCCAGTTATTTTATAAACGTTTCACATGGTAAACGTTATTTTTGGAATTTTGTGAAAACTCAACGGTTTGACACAAGCCATATGCCATTTTACTCAGAATTTTGTTGCTGAATTCAGCAAAAATAATGTTTAGGTGAAGAGGTGAGATCTCACCTGTTTTCTCACCTGTTTTTTCACCTCTTTTTTTCACAAGCGTTTTACATGAATTGTACGATGTATATTTGAAATCCTAAACAGTTTTGTAGCTTCTATTTCTTCTTTTAGTACATCGAATGTTTTAACTATGCCGAAGGTTTCTTTATATTTCTTCTTGACGTCAGATAGAAGGAAATCGTCAGCAGTTGGATAGTTTTTGTTCAGAAATTCTAACATGTCCATTTTATTTTCTGCTGGTTTTTCTGCTTCTTTCTTTAAATCTGCATAGTCGTTTCTCATTCTTTCTATCTCTTTGACGGAGTAGTTATATCTCCTCATTGCTGCTTTACATTTAGAACATTGCGGGTTCATTTTTGCGTTATACATTGAAATAAAACCAGCTAAAACAACTAAAGCGTCAATTGCTCTCTTCATCTCAAACATAGCGGGTCTTATTTGTTTGTTCCATACTTTGCCTCTTCTATCTTTATCTCTTATTTCCCAAACACATTCTGCAACTAACGAAACAAAGTTGTCGTAGGTCTTAAATTCTTCAGATTTATATATGTCAGAAACATTCTTATATACCATGTCGCAATCTTTGTCCATAACCTTATGGTTGCAATGAAATCCTAGAAACTCATAGTTTACCTTACGAATGAACTTCTTTATTTCTACTGAGTCAGTTGGTTTCACTTCAATTTCGTCGAATTCAGGAATAGTGAGTTTTTGTTGTTGGATTTCAGGTAGTTTAGGTAAATGGTCAATAATGTCCTGCATTTCATAAAGATACTGTTCATTTGTTTCATCTTTCGCACTACAGTCTAAATTACTTGTTAAAAGTTCTTGCTTTATCTTCTGGATTTCTGTTTCAAAAGTATATGAAGAAGGAATGAAGCTTTTCATCTCTACTAACATAGATGTTGGATTCATGACTAACGAGTTTGGTGCTGTAGTTGTTTGTATTGCTGTTGTGCCGATTGTTGAAATCATATCTTTACATACAAAATAAAAAAAATAAAAAAAATAAAACTAACTTTATTTTTTATTTCGGGAAAATTCATGAAAATTCAAGAGGTGAAAAAACAGGTGAGAAAACAGGTGAGATCTCACCTCTTCACCTAAATTATATTTTTGGGTCCTTTACACTCATTACGAAGAAATCATGACAAAACATTTACGTTCATGTTTGACAAAACATTTACGAAGAAGTTTTGACAAAACATTTACGTTCATGTTTGACAAAACATTTACGAAGAAGTCATGAAAATTCAAGAGGTGAAAAAACAGGTGAGATCTCACCTCTTCACCTAAACATTATTTTTGCTGAATTCAGCAACAAAATGAACGAGGTCAGGATGTATGTAAATACATTTGAATTCATTCATAACACCCTTAGTAAGCTCATAAAATGCTTGTTTTGAGGTCGAGCCACTTTTGGCTCCACCGTATTCTTTCAACCAAAACTCAAGAATTTCCTGCATGAATTTTGTATAAAAAGCAACCGTCGGAATTCAGACTGTTGCTATATTCTTCACAAAACATTTACGCTCATTACGATGAAGAAGTCATGACAAAACATGTACGATGAAGTCATGACAAAACATGTACGATGAAATCATGACAAAACATTTACCCGACATTCTCGTCAAATACAAAAAATGACACTTTTTCATTAGATAACTGTTATTTTTTGACGAAGTGAAGATTGACACTTCGTCAAAAAAATCCCTGAAATCATGTCTTTACATACAAAAAATACAAAATAAATAAAATAAAACTAACTTTATTTTTTATTTCGGGAAAATTCATGAAAATTCAAGAGGGTAGAAATGAGGGTAGAAATGAGGGTAGAAATGAGGTTAGATCTAACCATCTAACCTAAACATTATTTTTGGTCATGGACTTCGTCCTCGCCGCTTTGCGTCTTTATGTTAAAATAAATGGTACCATTAATAATTTCATGACTGTTCTCGTTCATGTCTGATTTACATCCAATGAAAAAGTTTAGAAGAATTTTCTTATTCTTTCTGGCATATTTTTGTCTTTCCAGTACTCCCGCTCTAATGGTCCCAGATGTGTTGGCTTTGACTCTCTCAAGTTCTTAGATGGTATAACATCTTCAACACCTCCTTCATATCTTACTTTATAAGTGTCATCGTTTATGTTATAGTCAAGTATTTCAATAACCACTCCTCGCTTTGCTTCGTCAATGGTTTCAGCAAGTTTGCCATTACTACTTTCGACTAATTTATGTCGAGGGTAAAACGCAATAGAGTCGTCAGCAGCTTTTATAAGATATCCATTACCTTGCGTAGAGTCTACGATATAATAGTTTCTACTTAACCTTAAACGTTTCTTTGTCAACGGTTTGTCGTCAAGGACTACACGAACTTTTGTACCAGGAATGAGGGTAAATTGTGTTGAATTTCTGATATTTTGTGTTTGACTTCGTTTCTTTTGTATATACTTTTCTTCTTGTTGTTGTGTCATTGAATTTGGTGTATGTCCTGTTGTAGAATGTGTTGAGGAATTATATACTTCGAGAAAATGTTTCATTGTTTCTTCGATAAAGTCTCGCTCTTGGTTTAAATCTCTGAGAGTCCTTATGAAGCGGTTTATGATGCCGAGTATGTTATGGTTATGGTCTTCAGTAGTGTAGTGAGTTATGTTATGCTTAATGAGAAAATCTGTGATTTCATTGCTGAGGTATGCACTGTCTTGGTCTGATGTTAAAGTACTTGGGCTATGTTCTGCTACAAACTTTTGTAAAACTCTTAACACTTCATGAGTTCCTTTATTTTTCATTGGATATGCATATGCTTTACGAGTGTTAACATTAATGAAGATGAGGAATGGTTTATGTCCTCCTTTTCTGCTTTGAATGAGAGTGTCAAATTGGTATGCGTCAGGAGTGATGGAGTAAATTGGTAAAAAGTAGTCGTAAGGGTTTATTTTTGTTTGATGTACAACATTTTTGTCAAAGAACCTTTTCACTTCAGCTCTGTTAGTAAATCCCCGACTCTTTGCAGCTTCATTGAACTTCTTAAATGACCTCCATGGATGTTGTTCGAATACTTCTTTCAAGCTCATTTATGTAAAATTAAAGATTTTATTCTAGGCTCAAGCGCGTTCATTGAACTCTATACCATGCGAATACAGTCATAAATGGTGGCATATAATCTGCACCCGAGCCTGTTGGATTTGTTGTGAAAGTATGGACATGATTTCCTCCTGGTTCAGTTGGTCGAAAAGTCTTTTTTGCTGCATTGTTATAAGATGGAGATAAAACGTCATTGCCAGCTTTATATTCTGAGTTGTATAATGGATGGTCTCTTAATGAGTGGCTATGGTCGCCAGAAAAGTTTGTAGTTCCTGTATGAGTGTGCGCAGGTAAGTTTGCTTCAGTAATTTTCTTCGAACCACCTGTTTGCTTTGAAGAGTTAGCACAGTATAAGAATTTGTCTACAATCTGTTCCCAAGTACCAAAACCTAAAACTGTTTCTGGATTTGTTGAATTCATTGACGTATAAATAGAACCTATAGGATATAATGTTTCAAGAATCTGAGTCTTTAATGTTTGAAGCTCTGTTTTGTCTGCTTTCTTATCTAACATTGCGGGTAGTTCATGTGCTTCAAAGTTTCTGGCATGACTTTCAATATTCCTGCAACTCTTATCTAAATTGTTAAGAGTATCTTTTACGCTTGTACTTGGATTTTCTAATGGTGCACTTGAACCAAGGTCAAAGTTCAGTATTATGTCATCTGCTCTAACAGTAGTGAAGGATTTATGTGTATGGTTCTTGTCAGCTTTACTGTCTAATGTAGCTTGAAGTTCATTTATATCGGAGATGTTGTGTTTATGAGATTTCAAAACTTTGTTCATTGCGTCAAGTTCATTTTTGTCCGCTTTACTATTTAATGTAGCTTGAAGTTCATTTATATCGGAGATATTGTGTTTATGTTCTTTATCTGCTTTTTCGGCTAATTTCTCTTCTATCTCATTTATTTCAAGTTCATGCCTACCACCACCTCCCGAAGAAGTATTTTTCTTCAGCTCTTGAAGAACGTCCACTTCGCCATCTTTGGTGTCAATAATGAGACTTTGAGTTAAAACCTTTCCTGTCTTAATGGATGTTTGTAAAACTTCTTCTTCACCGTGTTCGGGGTCATGGTCGTCATCATATCTTGTGAAATCAGAGATGTTGTCATACATTAAGCATATCTGTCTCAAAAGTTCTGCTATTTGAAACTGGAACGAAAGATATACAGAACTTTCATCATCTCCTAAAGTCAAGTCTGCTTTCTTAAGTATTTCTTGAATGTATGCAATGAGAACAGAGTACCTTGGAAAATATTCGAACAATATTTCATTAGCTGTTGGTTTTGGTGGTTCTTCTGGAGTTTCTGTTGTTTCAGTTCCTTCTGTAGGTTCTGTTGGAGTTTCTGCATCTCTTGACTTCAATGCTTTTGCTCTCAAAGACCTAAATGTTAGAGCACCAGGTTTTACAAAGGACTTTATAAATGCTTTAATAGTTCCTGGTAAGTTATTGTTAGCATTAAGTAAGTTCTTTATGCTTCCATCATGTACGTCCATAGCACTATGTAAAAAATCTATACTTTTCTTGTAGTCAGCAATAGACTGACTGTGATTTTTTAAAGATTTGTCAATACCTTTAAGCCAATCTTCATGCATGTCTGATACTGAGCCAAGAATATCATTTGCTTCCTTTAGTGTATTTTGTGCTTGTCGTAAAGTATCCAATCCCGTACGTGCATTGTTTGCTATACGTCTTACAGTATCTATTTGACTCCTTGTTTCTTGCATCCAACCAGATAAAGTTTTAATAGTATCCGAACCATTTGAAATGAAGTTCAAAGCATTTTTAACGTCATTTAAAACTTCTTCACCAAGTACCGCCCATATCTTTCCGATTTGGTATTGAAGAACTCCATATGAAGCAGCTGTTAAACCAGTATTTATAAGGTTCCATATCCATGATTTAGCAGTTTTTCCATCCTTTCCATCTACACCATCCAAACCGTTCTCGCCTTGAGGTCCTTGTATTCCTTGTATTCCTTGTATTCCTTGTATTCCTTGTGGTCCTTGAGGTCCTTGAGGTCCGGTGTCACCCTTCTCTCCTTTCAGTTCATCTTTATGTTCGTTATAATATTCTAATGTCATAAGGTGTACATCATTACTGCTACCAGCAACGCCAAGAATTTGTTTCTCATTCATGACTAAATTCTTTAAGCATTTAATGTTGTCGTCAAATCGAAAGCTCTTTAACAATTCAATGAGAACATTTAATACTTTCACTAATGAGGCATCTACTGTAGAATTTATATATTGCACCGTTCCATCATTTATGATAGGAACTTTACTTATTGTAATGAATGGGTCATAAGTGTTAAAAGTATCGAAATCAATGACTTTTTTAGTTTTTCCATCGTCAATGACTAAATCATTGCCTTCCACTGTTAAAGTTGAGTTTTCGTTTACTAGTTCATGTGCTCTTCTTGCTTCATTTGTTTCATACGCATATGCAGCAATAGTCATATTTTAATGAGAATAAAATGTTGTTCTATTTGCAAAGTACAGACCCAAACGAATACGGGACAGTAAAGCTACAAACAAACTTAGGTCTACAGAATGAAGCACTTGCTTTCAGAGTTGTTGACTTCAATACTATCGCAACTTTTGTCATAACAGATGAAACAGATTTCATAGAGATTGAAATAGATGACAAAAGAAGTGTTATAACATTTCCTAACAGAGCTGGGTATAGAATAGATAAAATTGCTGGAGTCATAGATACTCTCATAAATGAAGAAACTATTGACAACATAGATGTCGAACTCTCTTCTGAGGGAACATTGAAGTTCAGTAGCAAGAAAGAGTTCAAGATAACACGAATGAGTCATAGAGTTCAACTTCTTTTAGGAGCATACCATATGACATTTCCTTTGAAAAGTGTTGACAAAACGATTGAGATGAAATCTGTTCCATACGTATGTTATGGCAATTGTTTATACATTGAGTCTAAAATAGCTAATGTCACAGGCATTTCAGGAGTTAATAGTAAAGGTTCAGTAGAGTATAATAATCTTTCTGTTATGAAGTAAATTCAATGTTCATTCCAAACGTTCCTGTCATAGCAACTCATTTAGGTAAATGGGTTCGCATTAGTCCTCATAATTTGAAAGACATGCAATTCAGACTTGTTGACTTTCAAGGAGAGCCTGTAGAAACTGAAGGCACCAGTGCGAATGACTGTTGAAGTTGACTTTTTAGAAAATATTAAATGCAACAGCTTACAAGAGAACTCAGAGCTAAAAATATAAAGTATGAATGTTATGTATTAGGTCATGAACTTTGGTTGTTGCTGTTTGATGAAACAAATGAGTTAGTTATGTCAGTCAAGAGAACAGAAAAATATTGTGTTAGTGAAAACTGCACCAAGTCAATAAGATTAGGTTTGCATTATGAAGATGAGTTCGATACTGTTGAAGAAGTTTTGGATAGATATTACAAATTGCTTTAATTTACTAAAACATATTTCAAGCAAAGTTTATATTCTGTTGAAAGTTTTGTATACTCGTTCGAATATTTATACTTAAACTCAACTCCTGTAGTTCCTGGTGTTTCAATGATGCGGATGTTACCTATTTTCATGAATGGTGGCGTTTGACCACAGCATTCGATTTCAGGGTCGAGATAGTCAATGACACATTGTTTCCCTGTTATTCGTGAGATAACATTTTCAAGGTCCTCCTTTGTTAGAATTATTTGGTTCTTACTTATAAGATTTGTCAAAAGCTTCTTATCGTCTTTGAGTAAAATTGTTTGGTATAACTGAAGAAGGTAATGGTCTACGTTATCTGAAGGATTTGTTTGAACATTTGTGTAAGGATTGTCGTTGGCTTCTCTTGAAAGAATTTGGTCCAGTGGTGGATACTCTAACTTAACATCTGATGTAGCGTTAGCGTTTGAAGCTGTGTTTAAATTCACGGATTTCAGCTCTGGTTCTTTTTCTTTCAAACACTCTGAACTATAGTTCTTTATGACAATATTGTTTGTCGTTCGTGAGTCAACATTTGATGTTGGTTCAATTGGAACATTAACGGCACCAGCTAAGATGGATTTGCTTCTCATTTCATATAGAATAAAAACCTTTTATATGTATGAAATGAACAATATACTCGACAAGGGTTTGAATGTAAAGCTAACGAATGAAAATATTGTTGAATTCACTGAGACAGGTGCTGTGTATAAAGATGTAGAACTACTGAACAAAAGAGCTAAGGGAAGAAGCAGGAACATGAACAAAGGGTGGAAGCCTATAAAAATTTATGTCAATGATGGCTCAGGAGGTTCAAACATAAAGTATGCAGAAAGTTATAGAGTTTATGCTCTCAAGGGAGAGAAGCCTTCATTTAAGAACAGCTATTCTAACACATATCCTCAAAAGCTAACGGATGGAGAAGTGGATGATATGAATGACAGCAAAAATATTAACAGAAATGGCGACAGAGATGCATGGAATTTGTTTACCATCAGTCAATTGAAGGTTAAACTTTAAAACAATGTTGGTCGTTCCCATGGAATATTTTTGACTTTAATGGTATTAGTCATGATATGAATCTCAAGGTATGAACGAGGAGAGATGAGAGACTTATATGCTTCCCAAATTTCTTCAAAAGGTAATGTTATACCTGACTGTTTCCAAATGAGTTCAATATCATAACGTGAGAAACCTTGAAAGATAACGAAGTCAGTTATGAGACGTTTTATGTTTAAAGCAAGAAAACGCCATGTTTGCATAAGTATTGCTACAGTTAAGTGGTAATGTCTGACTTTAGTAATGATGTTAGCTAATGGTGAGTCAGGCTTTGAAACTAAACCTTTTCCGGCGAAGTCGTCACAAACGAGCAGAGTGTTTGAAGGATACTTTTTGAAGGGGTATTTTGAAAGTTTTGATAGAATGTAGTTTGTCAGTCGTTTCATATCGTAAACTCCTGAGTATTGACGTAAGTGGTGTTTGTCAATAATTCTTTCCATCTCTTCTGAAGTCTTTTGCATTCCTGACTGTATAAATTCAACAATGGCATAATATTTCCTCTTACGTCGAATGTAACGTTGAAGAAATTCAATGAGTTCACTGTCTGGAACTTTAACGACAGAGGCTTGAACTTTTGACATAAATGTTTTCGCTGTTGAATCCATAGAGTCTGAAGTTGCTGATATAATGATTTGGTCATAGTAAGAGTCGTTTCCTAAACGCTCTGTTATGAGTATATGACGAATGAGGTTAAATGTCTTACCTGAACCCATCTTTCCACAATAGAAATAAACACCATTTGAACAGAACTCATAGTCCTTACTGAAAGGAAGAATAAGAGAAGAGTTAAGTTTGTCTGTAGTTTCATTCATGTCTTCATCTACGTCATGTATTAAATGCTTCATTTTATCTCCATTAAAAATGCAAGTCAGAAATATTCAGAACATAGCACCGAGTCTAACTGACAAGAGTATAAAGATATACTATGAACACGTTATGATGAAACCTACCAAAATTCAAGAAAGTCAGTATACTTATGAATATCCAAGGCACTGGGTAGAGTATGTAGGAGGTGAGAAAGCTATTGAAATCAGACAGGTTCGAAGTATTCCAGCAGGAAGAACAATATTATTGAAGAACTTTAATGTTTTGAGATATAATGATGAAACAAAGAAGCAAGATAGTTTCCCTGTTGCTGTGTATGTGAACTTAGATACAGGAGATGACATGAAAGTTTTTAAACACAAAGCTTCAAATGGTAGTGAGAGAACAACTGACTGTGGAAGGACATCCATTACCTTCAGAAGTTACCATAGCATATAATTTTGAAACAAACTCAATAGATTTTAAAGTCATCTCTGCAAAGAAGTCAGGATTTACATTTAATGAAGCAGATGTATATTCGAATGAAAACTTCAAAGCTATTGCATGGTTAGATAATGACGATTGCTTTAAGAAAATATTTAAATACAGTGACTCAACGATGTCAATAGATGACCTTCGTGGAATGTTACCATCGACGTTTACAGTTGAAGGTTCAGCAGGATTGCTTACAAGATTGTCAATTGGTGGCGTTTGGTCTCGTGAGAACATTGTTATAAAATCCAGTATAAGTGAATTTGCTGAAGAATCTATATTATGTCTTTCAAACTACATGTATTCGCCGCCGAAGCATTATAGTATAACAAACTTTGTCAGTAAGTTTAACATAAGACTTGTCGAACCTTCTTCAATGAAAGATGTTGTGCTACCTAAAGACGGAAAGGATGGACTCATTATTGAGATGATTTTAATTGCATATTAAATGAGCTTGTTCTTGAAGGTCATTCATGATGAAATAACTGTTGTAGAAGATGTTAGCAATTGTTCAGACATTTTGAAGCGTATAGATGATATAAGAAAGAAGTTAGATAGACCGCAAAGCGGTGAGGGCGAAGCCCGTGAGAACGCTTATGTTTCATTGACTTTCTCCAGTAACGAGAACTTTTATGAGATAATATTGAAGAGAGATGATTTTAATATGGGTAAATGGTAGCTTGGGCAGCTTTAGGCGCAATGGGAACAAAAGCATTAGCATTTGGAGCAAAAGCACTTGGAGCTTATGACGCAGTAAATAAAATGAGTGGAGGAAGGGTTTCGAAGACATTAGATGCAAATAAAGGAAAGATTGGAGGCTGGGTTGCAAAGAAGTTAAGATTAAATAAAATAGGGCTCATAAATAAAGCATCCAATTTGGTTGCGACTGAGTCAGAAAATGCTTTAGGAAAGGACGATGAGTTTGCAAAACACGCAAAAGACTTTAATGACCAGATGAAAGGTGAAACAATGCATTTAAATAGAGTCGATGGAACTAAAGAAAATGTTTCTTCTCCACCAGTAGTTTATCCATACGGACCTTATGGAATGTATGGAAACCCTTACGAAAGACCATTTGACCCATTGACTGGTGGAAGTAACTGGTATCATTACGGCCGAAGAAGAAAGACAGTCAAGTTGGAGACAGACGTGAAGAAAGCAACTAAAAAGAAACCAAGGAAGAGAGTTATAAAGTAATGAATTCAACAGGGTGAAAAAAGAGGTGAAAAAAGAGGTGAGATCTCACCACTTCACCTAAATTTAAATGGATGTTTTCATACGTGTGGGAGTGGTGATATCATTTATTTTTAGTTTATTTTTTATTTTATTTTTTATTTTATTTTATATAAATGACGAAAACTATTGAGATAACAAACTACAACGGTCATGAGTTCAAGAATTTGTTCTTCGTTCCTCGTGAAAATACATTCTATCAGATACGAGGGAGAAAGGGTAAAGTTAGTTTGAGCGTTTATGAAGGAATGAAGAATGGAAAGTTTATACAAGCATACGATACAAACGGTAAGCGTGTTTCATTAGCTTTGTCAAAACTTACAGGTATAAACTATGACAGTGATTTTGACTCTGACGATTGGAGCGACAGCAGCGATACTGAAGAATATGAACTATTGTGTGAAGCACAGCAATGGGAAGAGTTGCAATACTTTTGTAAATGAGAACGTTTATTTTTACAGTAGTGAAGTCGTTTGTGAAAACGTTAGTGAGGTGAAGTGGTTGGCGGCTTTATAAATATTTAAGGTTAAGTTGGTGTTTGTGTTTGTGTTGTAAAATATACGTTAACGGTTTTGTAAAGTGTCAAATTCACATATCATGGGTAAGGAGGCTCGCAGTGCCTCCGTACACATGATATGTATACTAACTTTAGTATTTTGTCAGGTTGACCCGTTAAGAGTTGCTGATTTACAAAATTACGTTTATGAAAAGATAACTGATGAAAATTATGAAAAGATTATGAATCATGTTTATAAATATGATCGCAAATTCCAACAAATCGGACTCCCTTCCAAATTAATTACAAGCTTAGCCGCTACATCTGCTGACGCAACAGTTGATAACGTTATTATTTCATGCACAAAGATGGAAGTTTTAGAGGATAAATGCATTACACCGGGATACGGTTTAATTGAAGAATCAGTTAAAGCAATACCACGTTTATTTAGTAAGGAAGATCCATTCATGATTCCAGCTCAACATATTGACGTTCGTTCACTAAATGGAGGTTGCATCACTCCTGAAGGTATCAGCTCAGATTTCTCATACGCTCTTCATAATGTTACAGATGTTGTGTTAGCATTTCCGAAGAATGCAATGCAAAGAACAGTTTTAGAAAATCCAATGCTTCGAGGTCTTCAGGTCACTATAGATTCCAGAAACTTCCCCGATCAAGCGATGACCACAGTGGGTGACATATTCTTTACACGTATGCTTCAAGCTTCTGATTTAGATGGAGTGAATGAATGCACAGAAGAATACGAGGACTCATTAACTAGACCACTGAATGCAGATGATGGCACACCATTAGCTAGAACATGGAAAGACCAAACTTCATTCTTATGCACTATTCCAGTTCAACGTGATGGAGCGGGTATATTCTTTGATGGATTAGAAACTTTCAACTCACAAGTTACAGTACAAGTGAAAGCTTATCCAATCATTCAGGGTGAAAATGACACTTACTGTTCAAAAGTGACAAATCCTCCTCAGGTTTGGTTTACTAGGACTACATATTGGACATGGACACCGGATGAAGGTTTGAAATATCATCCAACAGGTACACCACCACAGTATAGAAGTTCATATGATGAAATATTGATGAATAGAAATGTTT